TTAAAGTGTCACTCAGCCCCGTTTTAAAGTCGAGCAATCCTTGTTATAGAATGTACAATTAAGGAAATGAGCCTGAATATTCAAAGCTGCTTGATTGATTATTAAGAGGCTGCAGTTTTGCTGACCCTGAATTGCCAACAAACAACTTCAAGGTTGAGTGCAGTGATTTGAGAGAAGATGGTTCTGCTTTAAGGGACGGCAGGGAAAACACGCACCAGCAGCAACGAACACGTGAGCTGGTTTTAGTCCTGAGTAACTGGCACGGTGAGGAGCGCCTGGAAAATAAGGTCACAACACCCAGGAAAGAACCTTTCAGCAAAGACGCTTAACGACTCCTGTTTCAGTTCAGAATCGTGTTCTCCGCTGTTCCACAGCCAGGCCCGTAAGACCTCCTCAATAAAACATGCTTCTTTGAAACATTTACAACTCGTGTTTCCATGAACTGATTAATCCAGAATGTCGCTGATGTCTCAGGGAAACGTACACAGAACTTGATGTTTTAATTCTCCGTAAGCCACGAGCTACAAGTGACTTCTGGGGACGAGGACGAGGAGAGGAAGCGAATCGGAGCAGAACCTCGGCGTCTCCTGCTTTTTGTCCTTGGAGAAGCTGTTACACTCTGGGGCTTCACGGGAGGTCGCAAGTAGGGTTGTCACGGTGTGAAAATGTAACCTCACGGTTATTGTGACCAAAATTACCACGGTTTTCTGTTTTATCGCAGTATTTTTTTTAAACGTGCTACATTTTCACACAATTAAATAAACCCTGTATGTCAGGAAATATTGTCCTCAGTTTGTGTCTAAATTTAGCCTAAAATGTGTTATTTTGTAATCATGTTGTTTATTTGTTTACATTTTTCCCCTTTAGTCTTTAAAATACCAATATTTGCCCATAACTTCTTATTTTTTGTCTGTTTGATGTCATCATTTTAAAAATATTAGATCAGATGGTACTCAGTACTCAAGTAGCCTTCTAATCAGATACTTTTTTACCCTTACTTGAGTAATAAACCCTATATCAGGAAAATATCGTCCTCGGTTTGTGTCCTTCCAGTGAGCTTTGCAGATTTGGGAAAATGTCATCAGGCAGTAATCGTTGTTAAATTCATAATTATTCTCGGAGAGAGACCAACTCTTATCTGCCCCTGGGAGCCCCGTAATGCATAGCGTCATTTCAACATGGCGGTGTCCGCGACACGGTTTATATGCAGGTAGCGGCGCTGCGGCTGCTTTATATAGCCACTCGTTGCATTCTCCCTCAACCCAAATCCTCGGATCACGCATTTTAGCTAAAACGCTAACGTTAGCTTGCCTTGCGTTGACTGTAGAGTTGTGGGTGATGGTCACGCAGATGTGTCATGAGATTTGAAGCGTTGCTGCCTTTCACAGACACTTTTTCTGCTCGTGCTGCAAACAGGATAGCCGTCTTCTATCAACTGTCCCTCGGCATTCTTCAAATATCCACAAATGCCCGTACTTCCCATTTTGTCTTCTTTGAGGGATAATAAATGTCCTCCTGAGCGCTGCCGTCTCCTCCTTTGGCCATTATTTCAGCTTTAGCTTCATGAAAGTTTTGGTTGTAAACAACAAAGTGCGCATGTGCCGCCGGCAACTTCAGCCGATGATACGGTGGCTGGTAAGGGTCACCGCGCCTACACCGCAGCCACGGTAACCCACTGAGATAATATAGTTTTTTAAAACAAGACGGTTATTATTATTGTCAACTTTTTTACTGGGGTTTACCGCTACTCTGGTTACCGTGACAACCCTAGTCACAAGGTCTTGTAATAAAAAATTCAGGTGTCTGTTCTGAGTCGCCTGGTGGGAATGTTTAGTGCAGCGCGCACGTTTTCTCCAGTGATGCTAAAGACGCTGACGTGCCCCGTTCGAGCCGCGCCGCCTTCGTCTGCTTTTGTTGAGGCAGCTGAAAACTCACGCTTAATTAATTTGGTCAGCTGCCTTGGATAAACTACACTGATGACATCAATTAGTTTCTAATGAAAACAGATAAAAGCCACGGATAGCAAATGGAATTTCTGAGCAGGACTCATCAAAGTCTCAGTGTTGGAACAAATTCCCATTACGTCTCATAAAAGCCTTTAATTTGCAAATCTCATGTCTGGTTTGGTACTTAGAAGTACATGGTCAAATGATTCCGTCTAAGTCCTGCGCCGAGAGGAGCCAAAACAGAATTTAATTTGGCACGTTAACTCCTTATCCTGTCTGAAACACGAGGCAGGATGCAATCCTTGGATTAGCGCGGGACTTCAGAACTACACATTTGGCTTGTTTCACATCTGCTGGCAGAGTGAACACCTAGTCTCCCCGTTCGAAACACGACATTTACATTTTCAATCTCAGGGAGGGGAGAAATAAAGACACTCCTGCTTATTCCAGATTAGTGCTCCTTAGTTAACCAAATCGCTGCAATTATGTGTGTCAGTTCATCGACGCGGGATAACGAGGCTCCGCTGCTTTGTCTCTTCCACGTTCCTCCTCTCTCTAATAACTGCATGACCTCTTTGAAAATGCCTGATTTGATTTTGCAGCCTGAGACAGATAACAGTTCAGGCAAATTAAGATGAATCAATTAACTGAGCCGTTAATGCTTTCTCGGCACTTTGCAGAGATTCTGTTGCGCTTTACTGTAGAAATAAATTCAATAAATGTTCTAATAACACATATGTAGACAAATGTAGACGATAATCAAGTTCTGTCAGACACTACAATCGCTTTTAGGGCCTTAGAAGAAAAATGAGGAAGTGTTTTTTTTTTTGTTTTGATGAATGATAAATTGCCTATATTTATATCTGGGATGTGTATTTTTGAAATTCTGGCGATACGATAAATCACGATATATTGCGATACATTCAGTCAAATGTTACAAACATTTTTTTTACTGAATTTATTGTAAGAATGTTCAATAAACAGTCCAAACTGATACGTAACATGTTTAACATGAGGTATCTGAACCATGATGGAGGGATTTACAGTTCAGTGGTGGAAACAAAACCTGTTGCACACTGCTGCCAACTAGCGGGTGGCGATTGAATTGCGCAAAACGAAAAGAAAATACACAAAAGTTTGCATGTAAATTCTTTCAAGAATTAGATACACGGCTTTTGAATTTCGATGTAATAATCGCAGGAAAAATATCACGATGTATTGCCATATCGATATTTTCTTACATCCCTAATTTATATAGTACCTTCTAGAGATTTACAACCCCCCCAAGGCACTTCACAACACAGTCATTCACTCACACACCTTCACATGCTGGTGGTGATGAGCTGTAGCCACAGCTGCCCAGGGGTGCACTGACAGAAGCAAGGCTGCTGAACACTGGCGCCACCGGTTCCCTCCAACCACCACCAACCATCAAGAAAGTTCAAGTGACTTGCTCAAGGACACGACTGGCACAGATTGAGTGGGGCTCAAACCTGCAACCATCCGGTTATGTGGCGGACACGTAACTACTCTGCCAACGTCGCCCCAAGTTTGAGATTAAAGTTAAAATATTTAAGGAAAAAGTCAGTAAAAAATAACACCTGCAATACCCAGAATGCATCGTGTAGCAGAACTGTAACAATAACTACTTTAGCAGTTAATTTCATTTGTTGGTAACACTTTACGCAACCTATGTTTGGAGAAATAGAGATTAGTCCTGGTAAATCAGATGAGCTAAAGGCTAATCCCAGTGGAGCCTGGTGCAAAATGTTTCTTCTGTCTGAAAACAACTGAAATCTCAAACAGTTCATAACAGAATGATTTTATAAAGTTTTACACCAGCATACATTTCACATTACATGGATATGTACATAGAAATATGTGTTTAATAGCTGTAGAGCTAGCTACTGTAGCACTTCTGGCTGGAGGTTAAAGTACTTCTGCTAGATGAAACATGAAATAGGATGTTTTAATGTAGCTTATTAAACTCAATTAAAACATTTGTGAAGTTGTTCTGAGACTCATTGCACCTGGCCTCATTGCCACTAGCTTTAGCTCATCTGTCTATGTTTCTCCAAACTCAGGCTGATCAGTTTGATATCTAGAACAGGTAAGATATTTGTTATTCATAACATTCCCATAGAAAGCCACAGTAAAAGATGTGAGCCATAACATTAATGCGGTTAAGTGTTCAGGAGGTTACCGAGAGGCCCAAATGACCGTCTTGTGAATGGATGAGGCTGTAATAGTGAATATGATGAAATCACACTCCATCTGTTTTCTGGTACTTTAGGAACTTTTACATATCTTAAAAGGTTCAGGGTGGATGGCAATGAGAGGTACTGATGCCAGACCCAGTCAGTGCTGACAGGACGGTAATAAAAGGGTTAACACTGCTGCTGCTTGAATAAAGACAACAGCTGAGACTGATTAAAGAAGATAACTCAAGCTGTTATTTTGTAGTTTACCCAGTAAGACAGGGCTGTCCTCCTTGGGCTTGACAAAAGTATTTCAACCTTATTTTGGAATTTGATGAAGTTGTTTTTCAACATTTTTAGTTTTTCCAAAAGCTGAGAAACAAACAAACAAACAAAAAAAAATACTTCCTCCTCATTTTTTGTCTTTTTGGTATCCCTTAAACACCGTTATCCAGACAGATACTTCCTTCTACTTCCTGTGTTAACTGCAGACATGTCTGATTGACTCTTTAAGCTCATGAGCGTTCAGGACCTTCTGCAGAGTTGTCCTCAGTGGCTACAGAGCATCGTGGGATTAGTAGGGGGATTGTGGTCATATTTATTCATAGATATGTATGTTTCTGTTGTTTTGTGCACCAGCAGCATTAGTTGCAGATAAAATGTCAGAAGTTTCTTTTGTATCGTGTGTTTATTCATCATTGTGCAGTCTGTTGTCTTTAAATGCTGACGGTTTGGCTGTGGAAGAAAAGGGGAAGTATTTAATATGCATATTTTTTTCTTTTTTGTGGTGTGTGTGTGTGTGCGTGTGTGCGTGTGTGCGTGTGTGTGTGTGCGTGCATGCCTTTTTCCATGCCAGTGGACTACCCCCCTCCTCCGCCACCTGCTGAGGAGTCAACTGGTTTCCCATCACTGCCTCCTTCCTTCCCGCCACCGCCGCTGGACAACTACGATTATCAGGTGAGAGGAGCTGCTGTTATTTTACATTTTCTTGGTTGTCAGTAACTCTCAGAGTCGTGCACAAAGCGAAGGCAGCTGGCCCCCAAGCGATGCTCTGGGTTCGTGCACCAAGTCCAGCAAGAACTGTCTCTCCGTTTGAGCTGTGGCCAACTGCAGAGATGTCCAGCCCCAGATGCTGCCTGCATCTCTCTCTCTCTCTCGCTCTCTCTCTCACACACACACACAAACGCGCGCGCGCGCACACACACACACACACACACACACACACACACACACACACACACACACACACACACACACCTTAAAACTCATTCAGGATGGGTGGAAGGCTGACACCTATTGGTGGAGCTGGGTCATGTATCCCATCATGATACCCACAGGCATTCGTCCTCCTGGGAAACGTGGCCCGTGTGCTCTGCTCTCACCGACTCTCTCAGCTTCTGACCTCTGCAGAGAAATCCTCAAAGTGCTTCACATTCATTTGTTTAGTACGCAAGAAGCTAAAATAGCATCAGCTCCTCTTTTGAGTGGACAAGTTTTAATAAATTCAGAAATTTGCACCATTTTACCAAGTTGGGCGCCATCATCACTGATTCTGGGCTAATTTAATTATTTTTGTGTGTAATTATCTGAGAGGAAACTGCAGGCACTTCCAGTTATTTTAAAAGTGCAGAGCGAGTGACTTTTTAAATTCACAGTTTTGCTTTACTGAAGAAATGCCGGGTGGAGCCAGCTGACCGAGCCGCTCGACTGTGATGCATTTAAGTTGGCAACGCTCGCAGACGGAGACACACGGGCAGCTTGTAATGCAGCGAGCAGTCAACCAAATGTACTTCCTTTACTAGAAATCTATAAGAACGTTTCAGTAAATCGTCACCGCTCCACAAGAGCACTTTACTCTGGTTGCATCACACCACTGTGCTTTTATTACAGAAGGCACTCGCTCTGGGTGACTCTCAATAATGATTAATGATCTGATTATTGTCCTCTTTAGTCGGTTTAGCATCTGTTCACCAAATCTGTGAGGTAGCGTGAGGATAACGCACTGCTGCATTTAATTTACTATGAAATATAAAACTTGCTGTTTTAAAAGGCAAGGCAGTTTTATTTGTATAGCACATTTCACACAGAGACAATTTAGTGTTCTTTCCAGCAGCGAGAATATCACAGGCATTAAAATAATGTGACAGCACAATTAAAATACAACCACATTTAGATCAAATCAAATACACAAATTAATTTCACATTTAAGAACCAGGAAAAAGAAAGTTAAAGGGTGAGCAGTTACAGCGCAGAAGGTGCGGCATAAGAGACATTCATTCAATACGTGAAAGTTTTCAACTTTGATTCAAAAGCTGTTAGATTTGAGGCTCGTCTGCGGTCACGAGGAGTCCATCTGTGTGCAGCATAGTAGCTAAAAGCAGCTTCGCCCTGTTTGGTTCTGACCCGAGGTTCTGTCAGCTGACTGTCTCCTAAGGATCTCAGCCCTGCTGTAAACCCTGCCTTTGACTGATTTAAATAAAAAAGTTCTTTTCTCCTTTTTGCACCAAGGATTAGTTTATTAACTCTCTTTAAAAAATAAAAAATAAAAAGAAGGTAAACTTTGTCAAACTTTTTAAAACATTTACCCCCCACCCCATCCCAAGTTATTTTTATGAATAATGATTAGTTTGCCGACAGGGAGTGATTTATTTTTGCCATCTTCACTACACGGCGAGTCTCCTCGTTAATAAATTTGTTACCAAATTTTCAAATTCCTCTTGAGAGTCGGCTATTGAGAGAAGTGTTATGTGGTGGGAGGATAAAGGCAATATTTAATTACCGTAAATCCTCTAATACAGGCCCGGGCCTGTATTTGACTGAAGCTCATCAAGCTCCAGGCCTTTATTGGAAGGAGGGCCAGTATTAGAGGCAGGCCTCTATTTCTATTTGAGCAAAATGAACTAATGGTTCGCTGGAGTTTTTGACAATTAAAATTGCGCCCACATTTTCTAAATTAAACACATTTCTTTTAACAACAGTAGTTTCTGCTTCAGCCCTCTCCCCCCTCCCCCTGCTTCAGCCCTCTCCCCCCTCCCCCTGCGCAGCAGCCGCAAACTCACTGATGCGCCTGCAGCCTCTCGGAGTTCCTGCTGCTACAAACATTAAAATAATTATTTCATTTTCTGTTCCTCACTTCTGATTACCTTCAACGGTGTCTGTTTGTTGCAACCAGCAGGTACAAAAACTAACTTGTTTTTATTTGACTATTTTTCTGTCCTGCCTGTTTATTATCTTCCTGCATCTCCTCTCAGTCCTAAAGAGAAACTGCTACCTGGGTTCATATATATTCACCTCATGAGTTACCTTTGAACTGCAGTTCTAAAAGATCTACCGACCGCAAAAACAGCGGAGTGCCGCTGCTTGGTGGCCGCGTGATCGGTGCGTCACTGGAGGACAAGCTGATGTTCCCCGCTCCACAGCATGCAGCGAAACACATCAGGCGCAAATAAAAGACAGAAATCTTTAAAGGAAATGAACCGACATGAACGATCGCGTGTCAGTACCGATGCTCTTGCACAGCCTCCGCATGGTTAAAGTTACCCTCGCGGTCTATCACTGGCAAATCAAAAGTGAGACGATGACACAACCGCCCCCCTGTGGTACTTGCCTGTTACCACATTCCACCCGGCCACAATAAGAGACCGGCCTTTATTCACCTCCGCCGACTCCGGCACTAAATTGGAGACCCGGCCTTTAATTGAATACCGGCCTGTATTAGAGGATTCACGGTATTTAATTATTTATTTAGTAAAAACAAGTAATTAGAAATTGATACACTAAAGCTACAATTTTATTATCAGAAGAAAAAGTAGTTTTTGTGTGTTAAACTGGAATCTGAATCTCTTTACTCGTTTATACACTTTAATTCAACCAAACAGTAAAGGTTACTGTTACAGGATTTCTCATGAAGTTTCACAGACAGAACGTTTTCATTTAAAAATATCTTAAGTTTGACGTTTTTCCAGATCCTTCATGAGGTGTTCAATTAAATTCGGTTCTGTCTTAAGTGTGTGTAGATGCTCTGTTTATGTGTGTTGTAGTTCAGTCTCAGGAGATTGGGCGTGACAAAACTACAAGTCCCACAATGCAACGGGGCAGCAGGGCTGTCAGGAGGACTTAAGCCTTCATGTGAAAAAATCCGTACTTTTTTCCTTTTTACAAACTTTTGACTACTTTGAATGAAAGACAATAAACTGTGTTGCTTTCAAAGAAAAACATTAAAAAGCGTTGTGATTGATGCAAATTTGAACCACAGTGATTCTACAGTAGTGGTAGACCGATATATTGGGCCAATTAAATAAAAAAAAATTTTAATACATCGGCATCAGCTGATATTTGTCTTTCGTAAAGCAGATTTAAAGTTAAGCACGTCTCCGGGCAGCCCGGTGCTGTTGCAGAACTTAATTTGAAGGTAGTTTTATGTTCACTAATAACATCTGCATAATCAATACTTTAAATTAACTTTATGTAGGTGTCTGACTTTAAAGAGCAAGTCACCCCCAAATAATTTTTTTTTTGCTGATATTCTAAATTAATGTGTGTCTAATCGTGCTGCAGACACGTGTCGTCAATAATTTTGCACTTCAGTGCATTTTAGTTAAAATTTAAATATTCTGCCTAAAACTGGCAGTGTTGTGCCGTTGTCAGGTAAAAACTCTGCACTGTATTTTAATTTAAATCTGCCACCGCTATTGGCTAAGAGGTATGCTATGATGTAAACTGGTACATTATGATGTCACAATGCTGTCGCGAGCCTGAGTGTGTGTATATTTGTTAGCGGCTCCGCCCTCTCGGTCTGCCAGGCAACAGCATTTGTTGCATTTTTCAAACATGAAGTGGGAGTGGAGTTAGACTCTGGTAGGGGGTGACTTGCTCTTTAACACTGAGCAGAGCACAAAGTTCAGATTTCATAGTTAGCTAAATTGAGAGTTAAAAAGTGATTCAGCTTCAGAAATTTTGTTCATCAACTGATGTTATTAATGATGTTTTAGCGTGAAAATAAGGTGGTAAACAGAAAGAAAGAAAGAAAACAATCTTTTATGTAGCGCCTCTCAAGATAAAAAATCACGAGGCGCTTCACAAAAACAAAGAAAAAAAACGATTAATGTACTTAAAAGATAATAAATAAGATCAAAAATATGTTAAATGTTTGAAAAATAATAAAAAATTGTGATTAAAAATACAATTATAATGTAAGGAAAGGGAGAAAGAAAATGAATAGGAAAGAGGGAAATCAGTGGACCCTGAGGAAGGTGGAATTGGTAGGAAGAGCAGAACAAGAAGAAGGTGATGAAGGTCACTCCAACGCCAGCTTGAACAGGTGAGTTTTCAGCTGCTTTTTAAAGGAGACCATTGAGTCCACTGATCTCAGGGGGAGAGAGTTGCAGAGTCTGGGGGCCACAGCAGCAAATGATCTGTCACCTTTGGTCTTTAGCCTGGTGTTTTGCATGTCAGCCATGAACATTCGTCCATAAAAATCTGCAGTACATATCAGCCATAGGCTGACTATGTCTTCTACATATCAGCATCTGTTTCAGCAACAAAAACAAAAAAACATATCTATTGACCTCTATTCTAAATAAACTTTAAATTTACTGAAGCCTGCAGAATCCCTGTGAGTTAGGTTGTTTAAAATGTTTGTGATGGGGTCGATAGGAGCTGGTACTGAGGGTAAATAAAAAAACCGGGGTTAAATCCAGTCTCATCCTAACCATCGTTCAACTTTGAAGTCAGTAATCCAGCAAAGAACACCAAGAACTTAAAGAAACGTTTACCGCCTTTGAAAGCACATCCATTCCAAGGGCACCGTCTTCGCTTTTCTCAACAAGATAATGAAAAGGTACAATGTGGACATTTTACAAAGGGATGGCTGAGGAGGAGCAGGCTGCTGAAACGTTTGTCCCTGAGTGTAGAAACAAAACTTCTGACAGTGTTGTGAATAAACACAAGAGCTTCAT